TGATGCCATTATTCTAAGTGAACCTTTTTTGTTTGTTTATTTGCTTTAGAATACATAAGTTTTTTAAAAGTAATTCTTGTTAACATGTCATGGGTTTATTGTTATTTTTAAATGAATTAGTAAATAAGTTAAAGATTTATCCATCTTAATTTCTAAAACAATAAACATCAATACACATAGCCCACATAAACAAGCTTTTTGGGGTCGTCAAGAATATAAAGGGGACTGGGTACGGTGGTCACCCCTATAATGCTAGTGCTTTGGGAGGCCAAGGCAGGAGGATAGCCTGAGCCCAGGAATTCAAAATCAGCCTGGGCAACATGGCAAAACCCTGTTTCTACCAAAAGTACAAAAATTAACTGGGCATGGTAGCACACGCCTGTGGTCCCAGCTACTGGGGAGGATGAGATGAGAGGATCATTAGAGCCCGGGATGTCAAGGCTGAGTGACCCATGAGCACATCATTGCACTCCAGCATGAGTGATGGAGCAAGACCCTGTCCCAAATAAATAAATAAAGTAAAAAGAATGTAAAGGGGTCTTGGGTACGAAGTTGTAGTTAGGAGAAATAAATGATAAGTATTTAAGGTGGTAGATATGTTAATTAGCTTACTGTCGTGATTCCACGTTATATACCTATATCATAACATAATCCCATCATTATATACAATTATAATTTGTCAAATAAAGCTATATAATTTAAAAGAAAAAAAGCATTTAAAAAAAAGAAAAAAGTGTAAAAACGTCTTAAGATGGGTACGTGGTAGAATAATACTTTTAATAATTAATGGTAACTTTTCTCTCACAGTATTTCCACCCTTCTTTTTCTCCCCCACTGCCTTCCATTCGAGCAGGTAATCCTTGCATCACATTCGAGCACGTGATTTATTGCTTCAGAGGAGGAACATTACCAAGTGGAAAGCAGAAATGGTTTCTAGCTTTTTTGTTTCCCAAAAGCCTAAACCTATTAAGCAAATTATGCCAAGTGCTTTGAGGCAGTAATAACAAAATGGAGCAAGTGCCACTGAGAAAAAATAGCAGCAGTGAGAAAGGGCAGGTTTCACAGGACTAGAAAAATATTTCTAACTTCCTGAGAGTGGGTGTAGGGAAGAACAAAGACAGGAGGGAGATTAGGGGATCAAAAAAGAGAGGGCTGGGCTGAAGAGGCCAGAAGACAGAAACCAGGCACATCTCAGCTACAGTGGGCCATCTTCCAGAGTCCAGGAGCCATCTGGGAGCTGGGTACTGCCATTGCCCAAATCCAGAGTCTCTGAGAGCCAACTATCCCCTCCCCATGCTCATGACTGCCTGCAGGAGTAACACCATTTGCTTTATGCAACCTAAGCAACTTCACCTTCAAAATATCCTTAGCCCGTCAGAAGCCTGAGGAAGAGTAGCTGGGGTCCTGGATACCCAGAAGTTTGGTGAAAGTCAAGTGGGGATCAAGTCTAGACCTCTAGCAGGAGAGTCTGCCTGGAATGAGCTGCAGGTCCACCCTGAGCTGGGAGAGCAGTTCAACACACCAGAATATTAGGATCACCAGACAGCCCTGTTGGGAGTCTACAGCAAATAAGGGCCTATGCTGTGTTCTAGCAGAAGTGCAAACTGATTGTATAATACCTGATTGAGGTCAGCCTACAAGTGAGTTTTCTTGGTCCAGTCCCGGGGATTTGCTTTGGTTGGTTGTTCTCATCAGAGTGCTTTTGTGAAGAGAAAACTTTGCAGGCCCACTGTCTTTCTTCACGTCTAGCCCCCTTCACTCATTAACATTCCTACCTGGCCCCTGAGGACATCTGAGTTTTCTGAGCCCTCCTGTGAAAAGTGCTTGATCTACCATAGGAGGATTCCTTGAGATGAAACCCTGACACTATACAAAATCACAAATACGTGCATTTTTCTGAGGAGCAAGGTCTTAGAGTTCATCAGCTACTCAAGGGAGTATCTGATACTTGGGTTGAAATCCTGGCTGCTGTTCACTAGCTGTGTCACCTTAAGCATGTCACTTAACCTGTCTATGCCTCCATTGAAACAGGGATGGTTATTTATTTATGCATTTACTTTTTTATTCAGAAACAGAGTGTCACTCTATCATCCATATCATCCAGGCTGGAGTGCAGTGGCACTATCATAGCTCACTGCAGCCTCAAACTCCTAGGCTCAAGTGATCTTCCCGTCTAGGCCTCCCAAGTAACTGGAACTGCAGGCACATGCCACCATGCCCAGCTAATTTTTTAATTTTTTGTAGAAACAGGGTCACACTATATTCCCCAGGTGGGATTCAAACTCCTAGCCTCAAGCAATTATCCTGACTTGGCCTCCCAAACAGCAATGCTAATGGTATCTAACTCTAAGGGCTGATATGAGGAGCAAATGAGCTAGTATACGTGGAGGGCTTTGAATGACCAACTCTACGTAAGTGTTGGCTATCTTTATTATAGAGGACATAGACCACAGAGTGAGTGGGAAGCCTGTGTCTAAGGGAAGTCCAGCATAGAGAGGAAAGTGAGGACACCTTTGTTAAGCCCAGCCCATCTTCAGGACATAGCTCACACAACCTTTAGAGCTTGCTTATTCAACAACGGGTCCTGGATAAACCTCATGCTGGACATAGGCAACGAGGCTGTGCTGCCTGTGGCCAGATATGTGCTAGCTTCTAGGTTATCAGTGCACTTCCTGTTCTAAGAAAGACAAGAATCTGAAGGTGGCAGTCAGAGGGGGCCTGGAGCCATGATCTTGGAGACCACAATTCTGCCCTAGAAGCCAGTGTGTCCTAAGTTCTGGGCTGTAGTCACCAAGGACTTCTTGCCTGGAGCAAGAAGTATAGCAGAATCAGACAGCAGAAACTGAAAACCTGCTCCTCTGCTTTCTGAGTGTTTTTGAGAAACTTAATAAACTAAGCCATCATTTCCTCTTTTGTCAAATTGAGCAATAATATATGCACTTTGGTTAAATAATTAATGTACGCAAAGCGCTTAGCATGTACATAGTGAGTGGTCAATAAACAGAGCCATTACTGTGGTAACACTGTAGTACTGACATCTGGCTGACAGAGAACTGAGTGGCAACTGATCAGATGGGGGAATCCTAGAAGAACAAGTTGAAGGACTAGTACAGTGAAGATGTGTTTTATCCATTGTGCAATTTTTTGCTTCAGCTTCCCTCAAAGCTTGGGAATCACAGATTTCTTGGGGTTTATTTGGGCTTCTTAGGAACGAGGAGAGAGGAAAATAAAGATCAGAATATTCTTTCAAAACCATCTCCTCCCTCCTCAGCCTAATATTCCTATGGAGAAAAATTGTGATACTGCTTATCTGAACAGAAATCCAATCAAACTAGCTTAAGGTTATAGAACCTTCTCACAGGCCAGGAGAAAAGACATGATCAAGGCCACAAGCCCTTATCTCTTCTGCTTCCAAGGTATCCCTGTTTCTTTTCATTCTGCAGACCTACTTTCTCTTCTTTATCGTGCACATGATAAAAAATGGTTGACCCAGACAGCACTGCATGATTTCCTGGCTTAAATGCAGCAAACTAGAGGTGCCCTACTCTCCAACCCAGATTCCTAGGAGAGCAAATTTAATGGCCCAGCTCCTGTCACATACCTGCCCTGATACTCTCAATCAAATGTGCCTATATATGGGATGGGGGGATTAAACAGATTGAGTAGTACAGACACATAATTTCAAACAATTTGTAGAAGAAGAAAACCAAATGGCTGACAAACACTTGAAAAGTTACTCATCTTCACTAATATTCAAAGACATGCAAATTAGCACAATAATGTGAGGTACTAACTTTTTTTGAACTCTCAGATTGGCAACAATGAAAAATAAAGGTAATTGAAGGAAACTTGCTAAGAGAGGAAGGTGATATGACTTTTGGTGTACTATTGGACATTATGTTTTAGTATTTTAAATATGCATAAGCTTTAAACCAGTTATTTTATATATGTGAATTTATCCTAAGGAAATAATCAGAACATGCACTGGCATATATGTACATATATGTTTATTGCAGTATTTTAGTATTTAAGAAAAACTTAGAACATTATACATGCCCTTCAGTGGAGGGTAGAGATTATAGTACAAAAGAATACTGAGAGACTATTATAAAAATTATCAAGAATGAAGGCTGGGTGTGGTGACTTATACCTGTAATCCCAGCACTTTGGGAGGCCAAGGGAGGTGGATCACTTGAGGTTGGCAGTTGGAGACTGGCCTGACCAACATGGAGAAACCCTGTCTCTACTAAAAATACAAAATTAGCTGGTGTGGTGGCACATGCCTGTAATCCCAGCTACTGGGGAGGCTGAGGCAGGAGAATCACTTGAACCCAGGAGATGGACGTTTCGGTGAGCTGAGATTGTGCCATTATACTCCAGCCTGGGCAACAAGAGCAAAACTCTGTCTCAAAAACATATATATATATACACATATATATGTATGTGTGTGTATATATATATATATATATATGTATATATACATGAAGAATGAGATGGATCAGTATGCAAGATGTATATGACAAGTTGTAGAGAAAAAAAACAAAGCCAGGCACAGTAACTCATGCCTGTAATCCCAGCACTTTGGGAGATAGAGGCAAGTGGATCACTTGAGGTCAGGAGTTTGAGATCAGCCTGCGTAACATGGTGAAACCCTGTCTCTACTAAAAATACAAAAATTAGCTGGGCATAGTGGCGTGTGTCTGTAGTCCCAGCTTCTCGGGAGGCTGAGGCAGGAGAATTGCTTGAACCTCCCAGGTTAGATCGCGCCACTGCACTCCAGCCTGGCACCTGGCGACAGAGCTAGACTCTGTCTCAAAAAGAAAAAAAAAAGCAAGGCACAGAAAAGAGTGGATAATATGACGCATTTTTGTTAAACATATAGAGTATATATTACGTAATATAAAGAGTATATTTGGAGTACATACATATATGTATACACATACATCTATATATATTTGCATGTGTGTGTGTTTAATATGCATCTGAAAGAATACATATAGATCCTTTTGTGGTTCACGAACATGACGATTGGGTAATCATGCACATCTGTGAGATGTGCCATCCTCGAATTGTTACAGCATCAGCATATTACCCACCTGATATGAAAAAAACATATACAACTAATAATTGTGGCCTCTCGGAATGGAATTATGGGAAGTTTTCACCTTCCGCTTGATCCATTTTCATATTGTTGAATTTTTTTTTTAGATGGAGTTTTGCTCTTGTTGCACAGGCTGGAGGGCAACGGCACAATCTCAGCTCACTGCAACTTTCGCCTCCTGGGTTCAAGCAATTCTCCTGCCTCAGTCTCCCAAGTAGCTGGGATTACAGGCGTGCACCACCACACCTGGCTAATTTTTTGTATTTAGTAGAGATGGAGTTTCACCATGTTGGTCAGGCTGGTCTGGAACTCCTGACCTCAGGTGATCTGCCTGCCTTGGCCTCCAAAGTGCTTGGATTACAGGCGTGAGCCACCACGCCCGGCCATGAATTGCTTTTATAATCAGAAGAAAAAGCAGTAAGATATTCCATCTGGGGGGAAAAAGGAGTACAGATTTTATATGTCAAAGGAAAATATCTACTATTTTAAAATTAAAGAAGGAAAACAAAAATTCCAATATTTTCCCAGTAACAATCAGGCCTAGCATGTGGCAATAAAGTCTGCCCTGCCCAGGGCCTGGGGCTGTTAGGAGGAGCTCTCTAGGATGGACAAGAAAAAAGTCAGCTTCTCCTAGCACCACAGAGTACACAGGGCTATACTTTTTTTTTCTTGCTCTATTACGCATGCTAGAGGGCAGTGGCATGATCATAGCTCACTGCAACCTTAAATTCCTGGGCTGAAGAAATGCTGCTTCAGCCTTTCAAGTGGCTGGAACTAGGATTCATGCCACCATGCCCAGCTAATTTTTAAAACTTTTTTGAAGAGGTGGGGGAGTGTCTCACTCTATTGCTCAGGCTGGTCTAACTCTTGGCCTGAAGTGATCCTCCTGTCTCAGCCTCCCGACATGCTGAGATTACAGGTATGATCCACTATGCCTGGCCTAAGGAGCATCCTGTTTGAAGAAGTTGGATTACCTACAACTCAGGTCTTTCTCTTCTGCTATAAATGAATTAATGTACTCAATTAAATCGAATTGAACTCTTCAACTCAAGGCCAGAAGTATGATTTTTACATTTATATATGAAAAGAAGAGGAGGGAAATGATGAGAGATGAGATATGCAACCGAGTGAGGACTTGGGTATAGGAAGACCTAGAGGCCCAACTGGGAACTTGGAGGTGGACTGGGGTAATTCCAGAGACATATTTACTTGCTATCAAACATATGTTTGTGTGGGTGCTCGGATTTATTTATTTATTTTGAGACAGAGTCTCACTCTGTTGCCCGGACTGGAGTGCTGTGGCGCCGTCTCGGCTCCCTGCAATCCTCACTTCCCGAGTTCAAGTGATTCTCCTGCCTCAGCTTCCTGGGTAGCTGGCACTACAGGTGTGTGCCACTACACCCAGCCAATTTTTGTATTTTTAGTAGAGACTGGATTTCACCATGTTGGCTAGGCTGGTCTTGAACTCCTCACATTATGATCCTCCCACCTTGGCCTCCCAAAGTGCTGGGATTATAGGTGTGAGCCACCACATCCAGCTGGGTACTCAGATTTTTTAAAGGAACTTGAGTAGGTTGAGAAATTAAGATCCTCACCAGGATAATTTTTATTTTTCTAAGTGTTTCCCTTTAGGTCCTTCCTTTCTTCATAGGAACATACTAAGTGTTGAATGCCACAGTGGATTTCAATGGGGAAAAATTAACTTTGCTTTGCAGGCAACTTTACAGGAATGCCTCAGTTTCATACACTGCAGGATAGCGGTATTAATTTGGAATACATAGAAATAAATTTCAATTAACATAGTCTTTTTTCTTTATTCACAGTGGGCGGTTTACCAATAATGCATTTTAGAGCATTGCTCACCATCAGCATTAGAACTGAGTGAATCTTCTGTTGAAATGGAGGCATCTATTCAACATATTACTTTTTCAAGCCTCTAACACCTTGACAGGCAAACCTCAGAGCAAGGTCTGTTTTCCTCCTCCTTCAGAATTCCCCTCTAAGCAAGAAACATTTGCTGAATGCCTAGTGGGGGACTTCAACATTGTTAGCACTTGTTAGCAGCCTTCCAAAAATGTTTACAGGAATGGTAATGTTGGTAATATTACACCACTGGACTTATTACAAAGACAATTTTTTCAATGTTTGTTCATAAAGACCTGCCATATTGTTGATGTTAGAGTTGGTCATTCCTTACATTATGAGATTCCTAAAATGAAAGTAGCAGTAATAGATCTTGAGAGCTGGCAGGTCATTTTGTTCAGGTTATATATTAAGGACACGAGTCTTTGGAAAACTAGGAAAGTTGTCTATCGTTTTATGACTAAGAAATGGCAGATTTTTTTTCTCTCCAAACCCCATGCTTTTTTCTTTTTCTTTTTCTTCGTTTTTTTTTTTTTTTTTTTTTTTTTTTTTTTAATCACAACCATGCATGCCTCTCTCAGCCCCACATCTGCTTCAGAGATGTCAAACATTCGCTCCTCCCTATCCATATGCTGCCTTGGAGACTCAGCCCTACTCCTAACTTAAAACGGAGAGTACTACCTGCCATATGACTGTGCCCCACCAGTTTCGGTTACTGACCCAGGAGTAGACATCTGACTCAAGCCGGGTTGCTTGAATTTTCTCCCAGGAATTTGGAATAGGGACAAAGAGGCTGAGTCATTTAGCTGTGTGGAGCCAAGCTGCAAGGTCATGCCCATTGGCCTGCCACAGCAGGCTGAAACCTCATGCTAGCCACGGTGAAGGGAAGCTGAGAAACCATGAGTCAGCAGAAAAAGCCAGTCTACGAGCAAAAGAGCACAAAGATGGGGCAGACAGATGCCCAGAGTCAAATAGAGAGGCCATGTACCTTGAAAGGCACAGGAGAGAAAGAGAGAGAAATAAAATCTGCATAATCCCCTTCTTGGTCCTATAATGCCCAGCAGCTGTATCTCCAGCACTGGCTTATTGTGACCCCATAATAACCTCTGCCTTTCAGTCAACCCTCTTTTTATTTGAGCTAAGTGGAATTCTGTTCCTTGCATGCAAATTCTTCCTAAGACACTTCACAATTCATATTGAATATATTTTGGGGCGGAAAGGCTGTTCTGCTCTTTATGACGATTATGGAAATTGAGGTTTTATCTCAAGACCCGCAACAGGCTGAGCAGCTTTCTGCATTCTCGCCACTAATTATCCAGACTCCGGAGACTGAGCTTTCAAGGTGAGTGGTTTTCAGAGCTTCAGATGGGAGCCAGCCCCATTTGAGGTCTTTCCCCAAGGATATCTTAGAGATACTCAGTTCAGGAAGAGAGATCTTATTGTAGAATGTAGCTGCCACCTTGGGAACATATGTCAGGACTTCCTAAAGTCTTTTTGCTTAAAATTTCCAAGAAAATGTGGAGCCTGATTTCTTATAAAGCCACTTTTCCTTTAAAAGTACTTGCAGAATCTCTACAGGCCCAAGGTGTCTGTGAAGAGCTCAGGTACTATTTCTGTGCTAATCTCTATAGAATAAAAGAAAGAACTCATTTAAAAAATTCCACTTGTCTTTCTCAAATTATTAGAACTAATCCTAGAATGAAATGATGGAGAAATGGTTGAGTAAATTAGAGTCCATCAGCTGGTAGAATACTATGCAAGTGTTAAAAGGGATAACTAACAAGATTAAACAACATGGAAAGACGTTTTTGATTCAATGAATGAGGAAAAAGGTAGAATACAAAATTGTAAGTATCAACCATGTGAAAATGGGTTTACAGAAGGACATTTTTCTTGGTAGTCTTTAACAAGGTAATTGAGGTAGCCACAACCAACTCACAGATCTTGGTATGTAAGGTAAAATCGATTGAACATTTCTGCCTTAGATAATTTTGGCTAAGGTAATGTCACTGTCCTAGTTCAGTCCCAGAATTTCTTCCTATATTGGTCTGATTCTGTGCCTTGTGCTGATCTACTTTTGTGCTGGTCCATAGCACTCCCAACTGATGGGACCTACTGATGATAGAGGGACCACAGTCCCTCCATCTGTGGTTAATCTGGTATGGAGATCTTTTGCTTGGCACCACAAAGATTTTAAGAACTATATTTAAATTGCTTTAATTTTTTTTTCCTGCCTACTCTTTTCCAAATCTGTGTCAAGGTGGAGATGTGACTGTCTTCCAGTATGCTAATAACGTCTGTAAAGTTTCTGGGAAAACCTGCCAAAGCTAAGGTGAGAGGGAGAGACCTTGAATCTCTCCTTGCATTTGGTGGGGAAAAAAAAAAAATCATAGATTGAGTGCTTCCTGCAAGACTTTCTTTTGTTACAGAAAAATCCTTTTATGGTTGTTTTCTGTTCCAATCATGAACAGAAGTCTCCTTGTAAACACTGGCCTCATGCTGCTTTGCAAGGGTTTGCCGGCCTGATCATTTTATGCCTGTCCTAGTAGGTACTTTTTTATGTTTGTGGCTTCTTATCATCTCTTAAAAGCCCTTCCCATATCAAGGGAATTTCTACATTTTGAGTTCTGTTTTTCAAGGTAAAACTAGAACTCTCTATTCTAGTCTTATCTGTGGCCAAGGTGCAAGGATGTGACCTAGTTTCTGTAATCAAATGTAGCCATGCAAGACTGAATGCAGAAAAAAAAAACCATGAGAAAGCAGGTGTCATGCAGAATCTGTTTTGTAGTGAAGATATGGGGCTTGCCAGTGGCACAGAAATGGCCCAGCCCCAGTGTTGGTATCCCCAGCAGAGGGTCAGTGCAGGCGCTGTGCCAATGCCAGTGGCACTCCCTTCTGTAACAGTCCAGCAGTGTAATTTGGATATAACTTCCTGCCAAGTAGCTCAGAACATGATTCTCTGGCCCTTTCAGACAATCTATGTGATATCTAATACCTTTTAATACTTTTTTAAATTAATTAATTAATTTTTCAAGATGGAGTCCCACTCTGTCACCCAGGTTGGAGTGCAGTGGTGCAGTCGCAGCTAACTGCAACCTCTGCCTCCCAGGTTCAAGTGATTCTCATACCTTAGCCTACCAAGTAACTGGGACTACAGGCATGAGCCACCACACCCAGTTAATTTTTTTTTTTTTTTTTTAGACAGAGTCTTGCTTTGTTGCCCAGGCTGGAGTACAGTTGCACTATCTTGGCTCACTACAACCTCCGCCTCCTGGATTCAAGCAATCCTCCCACCTCAGTCTCCCAAGTAGCTGGGATTACAGGCACCCGCTATCATACCTGGCTAATTTCTGTATTTTTGTAGAGATGGGTTTTTGCCATGTTGACCAGGCTGGTCTCGGACCCCTGACCTCAGGTGATCTGCCTGCCTCGGCCTCCCAAAGTGCTGAAATTACAGGCGTGAGCCACCGTGGCTGGCCCGTTTTATTTTCAAACTAGCAAGAGTGGATTCTGTTGTTTCCAACCAAAAATCTTGAACAATATACCTACACTCATGATTTTATATTAGGCTAAAGGACTTAAAAGTCATTTATTGGCCAGGTACGGCCAAATCAAGTCATGCAAATTGATATCTACAAATAGATATCACTGGCTGTACCTAGTCATCATTCAAGTCAGTCAGAACAGTTTGGGATCAAGCTGGTGGACTTTTGAAGCATTATTTTTATTTTTTAATATTGCACAGTTGTTGTTATAGTGGTATTTTTCAACAGCTAGGAAAGTATGGCCTAAAACAGTCAATTTGTCCTGTAAAATGTATGCTGACACAGTGTGCCTTTGCCAGAATTCTTTCTTACACGTCTTCTTCCCCTCCACCCCAGAATATTTGTCTATTAACAGAATACAGGAGCTTCTTTGGCAGGTAGATTTAGAATGTCAGCACAAGCATTGAGTCTCAGGAAAATGGAACAAATCAGGAAATTTCTCAGCAGTACCACTGCCAGATTTCTCTGGGGCCTTGTACCAGTGTTTATTTTAATGACTTCAATCAGGATATTTTCCTCACCTTAACCAAGAAGCTCAAGATTTTAGAGATCAGCAGAGGATTCAATGTATTTTAGGCTTGCTTTGCAGAATTATTGGGTGGAGTTTTTCTGTGTGTAAATGGAGCAGTAAAAATCCCTTTTTACCACTACTTTCCACCCCAGCTTTGTCATTTGGCATCTGTCCACCTGAATTTATTTTAACAATTCCAGCTTATGGTTCATAAAAGATCATAAAGCAATATTATGTCCACAGATTGAGTTCTGCATATAGCATTTAAAAATCTCTTCTCTAGAAAAATTACAAAAAAATGCCTTAGAATTCTGTAGGTACAAGATTTTCTTTTTTTTTTTTTTTTTTTGGTTTGGTTTTATGATGTCTTTTGGAAACATGGTTTGCCCCTTGTATAGTGAACCCTTGTACATGTTTTGAAATTCATCAAAGGACAAAGAAAGGAAAACCTAATGAATGTGACAAAGGTACCCGGCAATGTTTTGAGGGAGAGATTTCACAAGCTGCCGAGGTGGCCCAAAAGAATTTACAGGGAAGGCAGGTAAGCCCTTTAAGTTTGATTCCAAGTTAAAGATGCATTCAGGGAACTTTGACGGTTGAAAAAGTATCTGAGGATCTCAGTTTACTCCTCCTATCTCTGGCTGAAACTTAGATGAGAAAAGAGACAAATCTCTAGGATGTGGTAGGAAGGCAAGCTACATAAGGAGGAAGAGCAGGAGATGTGGAGGAGAAATGTGACTCAGGATGTACTTGGAAGACAACTGGCTTTCAGGGAGTTGATTCCTTCATCAGTACCTGTTTCCATCACTGTCGCAGTGTCTACTCATTCTTGCACTTTCTCACAACCAGTTTTACAAAACATCCAGAGGGAAGTGACACAACATGCCTTTGCCAGGATACCTTCATACACATTTCTTCCCCTAAACCCTAGAGTTTCATATACATAAAAACATGGAACTAGGCAACATGTTTTTATATATATGAAATCGATTGTCAGATCATTTAGCAGTGGTTATGTTGAAAGTGGAGAGTGAGGAGAGATCCAAGATGGCTGATCACTAGCAGCTCGGGGTTGTAGCTCCCAGTGAAAGTGCAGAGAACGAGAGGATGCCACACTTTCAGATGAATTTTTGTTGCTCACGCACCAGAAGATTCCCAGCAGAGGAGCCCCACGGGTTGCCAGCGTGACTCTTGTGGCCGGCGAGGCAGTTTTGCCGCTGCCTTGGTGTGGCAGTTCTTGGTGCAGAGTCAGAAAAGCACCATCAATCATAATGCCGCTGTTTTGTCCTGCGCAGTGGTTGCTCAGATTTTAGCGCTGGGAAGCAACAAGTTGGACGTCCACTCAGAAACCCAATTATAAAGACGGTAATTATAAA